TCACCTTCGCCTTTGGCAAAGCATCAGTTGAGTCCACAGAAAGCCTTCTCATGTGCTTACTGTGACGTTCACGATTCTCCGGAACATATGGTTCTGGCTCCGGCGTGTTCGAATCTGGCGACGGAACGAACGGATGAACAGGATCCGTATCACTCGGAAACCCTATTGGTGGTTGACCCGGATCATCTGGCGGACGGGATTCACTCGTAATCTCCGGCATTGCCTCTTCCGGATCGCTTGATGGATATCCGAGTTGCTCCAAAGGAACATCGGGATTTCCGAACTGATTCGGACCAGCTACGGAACCTGTCGGAGGTGGTCCCGGAGGTTGTCCACCCTGATGATCATCAGGGTTGCCATCCGGTCCATCACCAGGCGGATACATATCTTCATCATCTGGATCAAAATACTGCTGTTCCCCCGAGACGGGAATCGGCTCATAAGCCATATCATCATCCATCGGTGGTCCGTAGTCTGGAGGTTGATCCTTTGGATCCTCTAGAGCTACTTCATCAGGAGTCACAATGCGCTTCACGGCGCCTGTCGTCTCTGCTTCGTAAACTATCATACTCCAATGATCTACCAAAAACTGTTCATGATGAGGAGACAGTTGTGACACAAACATAAAGAAAACCTGATGGTATTTTCCTGGCTTCCACATAATCAACACTGCATCATCCTCAGAGTTGAAGAGAGGATGCACTCTACCAAAAGTACCACGATAGACCTTACATCTCTCAAAATACATCTGTGGCAAGGTTCTTCGTCTAATCTCCTTCAGGCCTGGAATCAATGACACAATTCGAGAATCAGAGGATGTTGTCACATCAAACTCTGATCTCTGAGGTAGTGCATCTACCTGCCTCAAGGTTCTGATCAGTTCAGTAGTAGTGAACCTTTGTGGTAGTATGTGTCGAAGTGGAACCGGAATTTCCGTCGTCTCTTCCGTTCTTACGGAATTCAACAAAATTGACTGATGAGCTTCTCTCTCTAACAAGAGAGCTGTTCCACACAAGCTTCCAGAGTCAAAATTCTCCAGAAGATCTTCAATAAGAAAACTCTGACGCTTATCGGAAGTCTCACTATAAGGAAGAAAACGATTCATCTCAACCAGAAATGAAAATGGAAACTTCTTCCAGTCAGGATCCTTAAAGTACTGGTTGCTTCTAGTGGCTTGCACTGTTTTAGCTTGAAATGAACAGTCACCAATACCTTTCCATCCTTGGCAGGATGCGTAGGAATGGAAGACTGTCACGTAACTCATTCCCTTCGGACAATAACAAAAACAATTCATATTCACATCAAAGTTAAAGACCGGATTCTTCAACGAAGAAATGAACTTCTGCAAAAACAAACAAAACTTGTTTCCTTTGGGAACAGTCACAAACACATGTTTCTTTCTTCTCAACTGCCACTCAATCACATTACAACATAGCAACCAAATAGAAGCTCTGTTCTGTTTGGGAGAAGGGTTGTTGATCACTATACAGTGGGGCTGCAATCTCTCCAGTTGCTGCCAAATACCATCTTGACCCTTCATAGTGGAAAAGTTGTATCCTGCCTTGAAATCCATAGGAGATGCAACTTTAACACCATTCCTTGAAAGGAACCAAGATAATCCACTGTTTCCATGAAGTAACTCAACAACATCAGGATGATCATTACAGAAGAAAAAGGACTGTTCTCCGAATTCGGCATCAACATACAGTGCGTGATCTTCACGCAAGTTCTCCGGATTCTCATCGTCTAATGCCGGAATGGAAACATCATGCCACTCATCGTGATCACGTCTAACCTTTGACTGATTCACACGTATCACTGCCTTACCAGTATTGGCTTGGACCATAGCTCCTTCTTGTCCAAGTACTGTGGCACGAACCCAACGTCCTTTATCCTTGAACTTTGATGAATCCTGAGTCCAAACAAAAACCTTCTCTCCTTGGAAGTAAGGACCGTCACTTGGCATAGTCCTTCTCGCAAGATCTGCTCGAAGGTCCTGAGCTTGTCGTGCTTCTTGATGAGCTCTCAAAGCCACACGTTGTAGTTCCAAATTTGTACGATCTTGTGCGGCGGCATTAGCTGACAATTGCTCAGGGCTTGCGGTCTCAAGGTCAAAAAGATCTGGTGGACGTCTTCCAGTTGCTATCTCTATTGGTGAATATCCACTGATAGTCAACTGACAATTTCTTGCCCAAACTACCTTCTTGACCACTTCTCTGACCGTAACACCACGAAAACGTGGGTCATCCAGATCTACCTTCATAACATGCCACATACGTTTGAACAAACGTACAGCTGTCTCTGCTCGGTTCGGCCAAGGAGTTCTTGGCCCACAAGGACATTGTTGTATACCATGGAACCTGTAGTATTCAACAAAAGCATCTGTGAAAAAGGCTTCGTCTCCTACGATGGCCTTCGGAACACAATTGTTCTCATCAGACCACTGCCTCAATGCTTGGATGGTGGTTTGATCTATGAGGTCTTTCTGTGCCGTAGCCCAGAGAAGATTTGTGGCACCATCAAGAACAAGTAGAATGATATACTTGTTCTTGTGAAGTTCAACCTCACAATGATCAGCAAAAACAACATCACCAAAACATGAAGCTCTAATACCGGAGACTCTGGCTCGTGGCGGAGGTGCCACTGAAGTGTTACAAACACGGCAGTTCCTGACAACTGATTCATACTTCTCTAAAACAGAGTCAGGAAGCTTCAACATAGAAACACGTCTACGAAACTGAGTAGGACTCATATGGTAGTGCTTCACATGAAGCTTATAAAGCTCTACCTTGTCCTCTAGTCTCTGTAACATCTTCCTATATGCCGGTGTCATTGCAACAACTTCACTACCAGGTAATGGGATTGAAATCCGCCTAGGCTCAAGAGCGCCATCACCTGGTTCAAGTGGTTCATGTTTATCACTTGATGGTCCTTTTGATGCTTTAGGAATTTCTACAAGTTCACCTTCTGGCCTCTCAGGTGGTTCTGAAGGAGCATACTCCTCAAGATCATCACCCTTTAAATCATTCTGAGGCTCAGATGGTTTTGACTTGTGTCCTTTCCAAAATGGATCAAAACCCTTGGAAGTATACCGGAACTTTGGCGGCACGGGCTTTTCCGCGGCACTGGATGGTGCACCTTCCTTCTCTGACGAGAAGCCTGGTTCCCTGTCCTTTGCAATGGGAACCTTCTCTGAGGAGGAGCGCACCACTGCATCGGGATCACCAATGCCACGGTGCTCAATGCCAGCCTTCCTGATCTTTAGATCTGGAATTTTGGCATCTGGCTTAAATTTAAAAATTGTTCTACCACGCCATTCATAGCCAAGTTGTAGGTCCTTCCATTTTGCCTTGCGCCAATCATCTGTCTTCTTGATTTCTTCTCCTCCTGCTTTCTTCTTGATGATTGTTAGTCGCAAGTCTTCCAGCAAGTCAGTGTCTACAGGACAGGACTTAGTTGCTGGGAAAAGAATTTTCCTGTAATCCTTGTGGTGACGTATCAGTTCTCTCTTGTGAACATCTACTTCCCAGAAATCAACCACAGGATATGCATGCTCAGCTTCATCTTCATCACTATTGTGTTCAACAGAAATATGGCCATATTCATAGTGAGTGAGGTGAGAGTAAAAACTCTTCTCACGCTGAGTCTGCCAACGCACGTCAGACAGATACCATGCAATATCTTGGAAGTCCAACACAAGATGAGTACTGGCTGCAACCTTCAACTCCAAAAATTTGATACCAAGAGGCACCGATGTCAGATAAGCATGTTGAGGTGTCAGCCTGAGTTCAAAGCCTAAGTTCCTCATCTGTGGCAAGCTCATAAGCAAAGGGACTTCTCCTTCTTCCACTATGTCGAACTCTGTATGGTGGATCGTCCATGCACGATCATACATATAAATCACCAGTTTCTGAGAGCAAGTAGCCTTCTGGGAATTGGCAAAGTAAAACTTGCTCTTGGTAGACTCAAAAGAGTACCATAATCCACAATCTGGGTGATTGTCGACATAGTTGCAAAAATGGTCGACTGCTCGCCTTGATCCCATAGCTCTAGTGCATCCAATGTCCAGGATTGCAATAGTCGGCGGGAAGCGATTCTCAGTCAAAAATGAAATGGCCTGCATCTCCTTCACTTCTTCCTCAGCGCTCATAAGCGCAAAGCCATCAGCGCTCATAAGCGCAAAGCCATCAGGAGCCTTTGTGAGCATCTCCCTTGACAAAGAGTACCTCACAGGGGCACTCATGTCATCGAAGATCGTCTCACCATTGTTGACCACGCAGTCAGCTTCATCTTGGCATGAGGTCATCATGCCTGACAGCAAGTCCACCTCACTGTCATGGACTTCAGCTGCTGCTGTCACACAATGTGCAAAGAAACCTTGTTGACCTCCTGATGCTTGTGAAGATCTTGAAGGTGCAGGTAAAGAACGTGGCTGTTGTGGATTTGCATAGTTTGCATCTTGTTTGCCATCTCCTTTATCTTTTCCTTTTCCTTTCTTGCCTTTTCTCTTGCCTTTTCCTTTTCC